ACATCCTGGGCAAATACAAATGCTGAAAAGCTAAGGGCATAAGACACCAATTAAGACATCAGAAACATGTGAATACCGAAAGCTTTGCATGGAATTTCAGTTTGTGCCCTTATTTTTTAAAGCTGGCAACTGATAAGGAGGAGCTTTTGAAGGGAAATACCACACTTCAGTATCCACCCACTACAAGCTCCTGCCAGAAACAAGATTCCAAGCCAGATGTATCTTTGGTCTGAACCTATTTCTATGTTCTTATGCAGTCACACACAATATTTGAGCATAGTACCATAGCAAAACACTAAGATATACCTGTGCTCCTGGCATGCCTGGTGTCATTCATGCTGGAGGGCTGTGTTAATGCTAAAGCCTACTGTTCATGAAGGATGTTGGTAATTGTCAGAGAGTTCAGAATGAAAAGGATGGCAAAACAGCTATTGCAGATTCAGCTCAGTCTATTTATCTTACAAAGAGAGGAGGTTAAGGGATGATTTGGTCAAAGACTACTGGTGTTTACAAGGAGAATGCAATATTGAGATCAGAGTCCTCAGTTAACATAGGACAACCTTAATGCTGAAAATAGACAAGATCTGATTGGAAAGATGGGCCAGATGTTCAACTGTGCAAATAATGAGTTTATTCCCAAAGCCAGAGCTGGAGCAAACAGATTGATTCTTCATTAAAGATCCTTCTGACTGAAGTTTGGATCATTTTTTTTTCTAAAAATACGTACTGGAAACTAAACGAATACAAAAAGAAGAGACCTTGTGACCTATGCCATCCAACAAAATAGTGCTCTGTTTTGCTTCTGTGATTGTTATATGCTTCTGTTCCTTGTACTGGCAGTTCTGACAATTTTTCCAAGCAAATCAGGGGTGTAAGTGCAATCCTGACCACAGATGCCTGGCAGATCTGATCTCTTCTTGTGCAAACACTGGGTACATCTCTGGTCTCTGTGCTGATAGCTTCTCACTTGCATATGCCCTGAACCAGGACGTCCTTGCAGAGGCAGCAGCCATTTGGCTCCTGGAATCACAGCCACCTACGACACTCAGCATGTCTCTACCAGCTCACCAACTTCAGCCTCTCCTGGTGCCTGCCAAAGGTAGAGGCCCTTTTGACACACCTTGGTCCAAGCAGTTGGTCTAGTCCTGTGTTTCCATAATACCCAATGTAAACCACCTTTAGAGTGCTCTAAACCCATTCCTCTATGTTCTATCCAACAGGATCATGCAGCACAGATTATACCCTTCTTTGAAGGCATTTAAGACCATTTTCATGCCTCACTGCAGCCTCCTCCTGCCTTGACAGCACCGATTCCTTGCACCTCTCCTGAGGGGTCACAGCTCTCAGTAGTTTTGCTGCTGGCCTTGCTCCAAGTGCCCCTCGTCTGCAGCCCCAAGGTGGACATGGGGCTGCAGGCACTCCACTGACACACACCAAAGCCTCAGGATCTGTCACGTGTGTCTGAGAGCAGAACTTTGCCCCCTCTTAATCGTATCTCATTTATCAGCAATGTAATGCTTTGCACATTATCATCCCAATTATAAAGGCTTGTAGGTGATAATGAGATTCCACTGGATATATTCCAGCAAAGCACATTCTAGGTTTTACTAACTTCATTAACCAAGAAAAGCTGGTTAATGGCAGAAAAGTGCAACGATGCACATAATCATACTGGTTACTTTGCTACTACAATTATATTATTAAGATGGATCTTTGAGGTACAGTTTCCATGTATAATTAGTGGTTTATCCCTTCAGGAAGAAAAAAAAATCAAAAGCACCCTAAGGCTTGAACAAAATGATTCTTACTGAGAACACAAATGAAGCTGTGCTTTCAGGTCAGACTCCAAATGGGATTTGTGAGCTACAGCAGCACAAGAATTTGGAAACCCAACAGAGGCTTCTGGGAGATGTGAAGTGCCTGAGTATGAATTGCAGCCCCTGACACCCCCCTGTGCACACAGACATGCACGAAGGATGTCCCCACCTCACCAGGCACCTCGCTTGTCCCACTGAATCGTAGGATCACAGAAAGGCTTAGGTTGGAAGGGACTTTAATGTTCATTTAGTTCCAACCCACTGCCGTGGGCTGGTTGCCCCCCATCAGACCAGGTGCCCAGGGTCTCATCCAACATGGCTTTGAATGCTTCCAGGGATGGGACATCCACTGCTTCTCTAGGCCTCCTTTCCCCAAGATTTTAAGTCTTGGAGTTTTCCATGAGTACTGAGAAGGCAAAAATCCCACTAATATCAGAATTACAAAATGTTTAGACCAGGGGTTGCCCAACTTTTTGGCTTGTCTATGCTGCACTGAGTGAAGAGGAATTGTCTTGGGCAATTATATCATGGAATCATTGAATCATTCGAGGGACTCTTAAAGGCCATCTGGTCCCAACCTTGTAGTTAATGTATATAATAAGTAGCAAAGCTACTTCACAAAACACATCAATCTCAGACGAAGAAAACAAGATCCTCTGGGCAATCGAAGCAACGGGAAACCCTCTGATTACCCCTTTCACAAAACAACAAAACAGAAGACAAGAGCACTGAAAGCCTGATTTTTTGGTTGCTTTTCTCTCACAGTTAAATCATGCTTATCATCCTGACAAAAAACAAAATGCCCTTTTTTTTCACCAGGAGTTCTCTTACAGATCTAATCAAGTTGTCAGGAGAAATACTATTATCCTCACCGTGTGAAATTAATCTATGAGGAATTTATCTACTATACTGAGTGTGTATATGACACCCATTGGGATCAGCTCACATATACGTCTTCTGCTGGTAACCCTTCATACAATAAAACAGCCTTCACAACTGATTCTGCAGTCATCCTACAGCATTTAGCATGGCTGCTCTGCCTCGGAGCTTAGCAGGAGCCCTCGGTGGATTTAATCAGGCAGGCAGAGCTCAGAAATTCTGCCGGAATCCTTGCTGCTATTAGAAATATGCACTATCATTTGCTAATTCAGGCTCAGAACCAATTCAGAAACTCAGAGCAATAAATCCTCGTGTGAGCGTTGAGCCCTCTGAAGCGTATCCTGGAGCAGTCATTTTTGGAGAGGCAGAATACACAGAGGAATGTAGAGCGTCTAGCCAAAATTTTATTTGAAATACTCTTCTTAATGAAGCCAAAGACTTTTCCAAAACTGAAAACCTCTGCTTTTTCTGCTTCTGACGTCCATGACCTTGCACAGGAGCAGCAAAGTGCAGGCGGTCCTGGCAGTGCAGAGGTTGTTGGCCTCCCTCCCTAAGCAAGCAGGATTTTTATCACTGGTACTGACCAAAAAGGATTTTACCCCGTGTCACAAGGCACCGTCACATCTCTGTGCTTCGAAAATCCTGCAGCCCTCTGAAATCTGTCAGAATCTGCCAACCCTGAGAAAATCTGCAGGTGAGGCTGTCAGCTGCATGCACATACAGACGTGTTTGCTCACATTCATCACTAGCCTGACACTACAAGAGGTGAGAAGCAGCCCTGACACCGGGCATCAGCAGCAGCCCAAACCCACGGCCCACAGCAATGAGACCCAGGCACCTGCTGGGTTTTCATAAAAACTGATCTTCTCATCAACTGTACACATTTCAGTCTCCTTTGACATTCTTCTCCACAAGACACAAAAGCGAGGTACTATATCCTCAGGAAAAATATGCTTCTGCTGATAAACACTTGATTCTTGGCTTGGATTTGTGTTCTGCAGCAGTCTGGGTCACCACCCCGGCTGGTGGTCTGCAACTCTGCATTCTTTAAATTCAGTGAAAGAGTACAGAAGAGCCAGTAGCTCCTACTGCATTATCAGCCCCCAAAAGGCCACTGAGTGTGATCCCCTGTTGCTGTACTGGGAGCAGTCAGCTCTGCAGAGCCCAAAAGAATGAGCCTCAGCTCTCTTCCTGCCTTCAGCTCCTCCTGGCTCCTCCATAGTCTATCTCTGTTTGTTGAAGGACTGAAGAAAGGGTGAGAAGTGCAATCCTGCTGCTTTAACCACCCACAGCCAACACAGAATGCAGCTGCTGCTGTAAAATGATCGGCTGGAGATAGGGAAAAGGAAGTCACTCTGCTGGGAAGTCAAATGCAGAGCTGTACTTGGGCTGCCTGGGTAACTTTCTGCTGCAGTGTGCGCTTTGCCTACATGATCACGTGCTACTTGGACTCTCCATCTCACTCAGAGCCCAGATTCGGAGCCAGATGCCTGCAAAGAGGGGGAGCAGAAAACCCCACGTGTTACAAGCTAAAAGAGGAGAGATTTCAGCTGGAGGTAATTCTCTACTCAGAGGGTGGTGAGGCTTTGGCACAGGCTGCCCAGAGAGCTGTGGATATCCCAACCCTGGAGGTGCTCAAGGCCAGGTTGGGTGGGCGCTGGGCAGCTGATCTGTGGGAGACACACAGCTTGCAGCAGGGGTTGGGGCTGGGTGGGATTTGAGTTCCTTCTAACCCAAACTCCGCTGTATTTCTACACTGGGGAAAGGACTGACAGCAGTGCCAGATTGGATGCCACGTACCACGCGCAGTACACCAGCATTGCTGACACTAAGTCATCCCCAGCAGCTTTCTGGGTGCTCAAATAGTTACTTTGGTACCAGCAATGTCTTTTTGGACACAACCAACATTTTTTTAGGTACCAACACTATTTTTGGAGGGGTGCTAATAATACCTTTCGGGATATCAATAGCTTTTGGGGTACTAACAAGAGTTTTGGAGTAATTCTTTGGATACTAACAGTATTCGGGATGTTTTGGGGGTACTAACAGCTTTTTGGACAACGACCCCCGGGACCCCCCACCCCTCCCCGCTCCCTGCACACGTGCCTCGCCACCTGCGCCGCCGCGCACGCCTCGCCGCCCCTTGTCTGGCCACGCCCCTTCCCTCCTCCTACTAGCCAATGAGCGGGAGGGGCCTCTGGCCGACGGCCAATGAGAGAGCGGCGGGCACCCCTCCCCTCCGTTCCCGCCACCGCCCCTATTTAAAGGGCGTCGCGCAGCCGCGCGCTCCCAAAGAACGCGGAGGCGGCGTTGGGAGCGGGGTTGCGGCGGTGCCGCGGTCCGGCGCGCGGTGGAGGGCGCGGGCAGGCGCTCCCGGACGGCGCCCTCCATGGAGGCTTTCCCCGGAGGCAAGCTGGAGCCGCACCGGCACCTCCCTCCCGTAGAGCGCCTGCCGGGCGCCCGCTACGGCGGCCGGAGCCACAGCGCCTGCGGAAACGTCTTCAATTCGTGGAACGATTACCTGGGGCTGGCCACGCTCATCACCAAGGCCGTGCGCCCCGGCAAGGGCTTCGGCGCCGAGCCGCCCGCCGTGGTGGTGGCGGCGGCCGAAGAAGAGGAAGAAGAAGAAGAGGAGGAGGAGGAAGAAGCGGCGGGGCCGTACTTCGAGGGCGCGCTGGACTTGCACGAGCTGGAGCTGTGCGGGCACCACCACCATCACCACGGCGACGGGCTGCTGGAGGAGCGCTACGCCGACTTCAGCCCCTTCCCCGGGCGCGGCGGCCCCGCCGCGGTGCTGTTCGACTGCTCGGGGGAGCACGCGGGCCGGGACGGCTCGGCTCACGCGTGGGGTGCGGGCGTGGTGGTGGCGGCGGGTCGGCTGCCCTCTCACCCGCGTGCCGCGGGCCGCCTGCTGAAGCCTGAGCTGCAGGTGTGCGTCTTCTGCCGGAACAACAAGGAGGCGGTGGCTCTGTACACCACGCACATCCTGAAGGGACCCGACGGCCGCGTGCTGTGCCCGGTGCTGCGCCGCTACACCTGTCCCCTGTGCGGCGCCAGCGGGGACAATGCCCACACCATCAAGTACTGCCCGCTGTCCAAAATGCAGGCGGCCAAACAGCTCCGGCACGCCCGGACCGCGCTGGGCAAGAAAGCCCGCTAGGAGCGGGGCGCGGGGGGACTGGCGGGCGGCTTCGGAGCGGCCGGGACGCCCTGTACGTGTTTCTTGTAAGAAATATATATATATGTGGTTTTTAAGAAAATGGGATTCGCCGCGAGTCCCGACGGGGGCAGCGCTCGGGGCGGGCGGTGTCTCTCCCCGCTGCCCGCCCGGCCCGGGGGAACGGCCTCCCGCTGTCCGGCGGGGACTGAAGGGCTCTGAGCCGCTCCCTCGTCCTTCTTGGAACCGTTCGGGTTTCTCGCTCGGTGATCGGCAGCCCCTCGGCTAAATGGCTGCATCCGGGGATGGGGAGGAACGGGACGGTGCCGCCCGGCTCCCTGTGCGTAACGCACGGCTTTGAGGCTGGGAGGTTGGAGCGGCGAAGGACTGGCGGGGGTTGCGCGGTGAGCCCTTCTGGGGGGGCACAGAGCGGACCCTGGTGTGTTTGTGGGCTTCTGAGGAGACCCAGAGCACGGTGCGAAACTGACGAAAGGAAGGTGATGCGTTTGTAAGGCTGAAGAGTGTGGCTTTATCTGGATGCGGGGGGCAGATCCACCCGTGTGGTTACCAAGTAGCTTTCACGTATACCGAACACGGGACGCAGCTCCGGGAAGTGCTGAGAGCCGGCACGGGGCTGCGTCGATCTCGAGAGGTGGGGAATTTGTTTTTATTGCAATTTGAGGCAGGAGAAGGAGCGGCAGCAGCAGGTCTGTGGGTCTCTTCGGAGCCCTTTGGTGCCAGGAGGGCAGTGCAGAAGGGTTCTGCTCTAGATGGCTGTACCCAGATTCACCTGAGGGTGAGAAAGTCACCGGGTCCTAATGGGAAGGGAAGCTGGGCAAGTGAGAAGTGACAGGTATCAGAGTGAGTTCCTGCTGGGGAGCTACCCGGCAGGGTGGGAGATTGAAGCAAGCAAGTGGGATGGGCAGGAGAGCAGTCAGGATGTGCAGGATTGGGAACAGGGGTCACTATTCAAAACTGCAGCTGAGAACAGGGTTGTGGATGGAAGCGCTCTATTCAGGCTTCATCAGATTGCTTCAATGATGGCATTAGGTCTAATTAGCAAATGTAAATGGACTTGCATTAAGTAACATCTTGCTGTGGCTACAGCTGGTTGTACGGAGCTGCCTGTTGGTTGTGATGATACCAGCTGTGTGCTGTCCCTCCTTCCATGAGGCTTGCCCTGCAGGTTCTCAGCTGGTAGGATTTAGGTGTTGGATTTTATGATGTCTGTCTGCACCACAGATTGGGATTGAGCTCCAGTGTAATGCTGTGGGGAAAAAAATCTTTTTGTTAGCTTCTTGTGGGAATGTTGAAAATGAGTAGACGCGTTTCAATTGAGGTGACTGTTCATGGACACAAAAGCAAGAAAGATGTAAGGAAAAGATCTCAGATGCTTTCTGAGGGGACATTCCGAGAGGGCTGCCATACACTTGCCTCCCCTGGTTTGCAGCTTAAGCTACCCCATAGCAACTGCCCCACTGCACCGCCTGGGAGCTTGTCAAGACAGCAGATCTCCCTGTCTTGGATGCCAGCCCTGTCCTTGTGCAGCACCTGTCCCTGCCCTCCACCTGGGTGAGAAGCAAGCTGCTCTTGTGATGGTGCCTCCTGCTGTGTGTGCTCAGAGTCCTGCTCTCCGTGTGTACCTGCACTGCGTGGCATCAGACCTGGGAGTCGGGTCCCAGCAGGTAAGGCAGCAGCGGTGGCTGGAGAAAGCAGCTGCGGGTGGGAGGGAAGCCAACCTAGTTCAGGCTGAGCTCCCAGAGCCATTTCCTGCACACCAGCACACTCTGCAGCACTGAGCAGGCAGACACACCTGCTCGTGGTCACTTAAAAGCCTGTTACGTAGATGCTGCTTACATGGAGACTGAGACAGCTTGTGGTAGTAACCTTAACTCCTAGGAACAGCACGTGCCTTCATCTGCCAGCAGCCCACGTTGGAAGCTATTACATGCTCCACAGAAGGTGTCTTGTTGAGCCTGATGCCATTATCATTTATTCTGCACACAGCTGCAGATCTAAAGATGGATGGTACTGGTTTGAAGCAAGCACTTTGCCTTCAGAAAAACCCTTGATTTCAGGGAAACATTCCTAGTAATCTCTTTTCCATGGTGATGTTCTGATGAGGAATGAACAGAGCACCAGGTAGCCTATCATCACCCTTGGTGGTGTCAGTCTGAGCAAAAAGCAGGCTCCTCCTGGTGGAAAATTCCTTTCAGGTATGTTGATAACTCACTTCTGCTCAAGTCAGGCAAGTGTGGTGCCTTTCAGTCGCAGCTGTTCCTGGCATGGCAAAATGGGGGAGAACTGAGTACTTGTTCTGCCACTAGCATATGTATGTCCTACAGTTCTGTAACAAACTGCATGAGGTGGGGACTCGTGGCTGAGTAACAGGTGGGTTTTAAATCTGAATTTCACTGATGACCTACCTTTACTTTGTGGGTTTACCAAACCTACACTTTATTTGCATAAGGAAAACTTGCTGTTCTATTTATTACTGTGGTCCTTTACTACTACAGAGAGAACTAAAGGTCTCTACACCAGCAGCTCCCCAGCTGAATTCCTCCCTTCCCACAGGGGCTGACCACCCCTGCTGGCAGTAGGTGCAGGTTTTAGATGTTGGATTTGGTCAGATGAAATGTCTGACCACTGCAGTTATCTAAAAAGATCACGCAGTGAAATAAATACATGGACATGTCTGTAGTTGCATCTTTCAGCCGTTTGTGATGCTGCCTGGTCCTGAGCATTGAATGACTTCCAACATATATAGCAACTTCCATTTAGAAAGTTAAAAACACAAACTCTGGAACAGTTTCATTTGGTGCAATGGCCCCATTTATCCCCATGTAAACATGGCTGTACAGATAAAGTTTAAAATAATAACTGAAGATAGGTCACTCTTTACAACTGTCTGATGACTGGATAAAAGTTAATGTGGCACTAATGCTCAAAAAAGGCCAGAAAGACCATTTGAGAAACTGCAGTCCAGATGATGTCACCTTATCCTTGCACCCTGGTTAGGATGATAGAGAAGAACCCAAGAGCCATGGGTTCTTCTGACAGGTTAGAGGAGTGTTTCTCTTCTACTTAGGACTCATGAGACCTCACTACTGCCCCAGTTTGCCTCCAGTATGGGGAAGCTTGTGCCAAACTGGAACAAATTCAGCAGAGCACCAACAAGACCACAGGGGCTGGAGGGGGCAGGGCTGGCTTAGACTGGAGCAGGAAAATTTGGGGGAATCCTACCAGCCAGTACCGCAAGGCAGTTATAAAGCCAGGCTATTTACAGCACTGTGTGGACAACAAGATGAGAGGCAACAGGTAGAGGCTGAAAAGATTTTTAAGCTATTTTACTGTGTGAGCAATCAAGCATTCCTTGGAGCTTTTCAAGACCAGCCTGGGTAAGCATGGTTCAGAGTAACAGAGTCTGACTTGACAGTAAGAAGTGGGGCCAAAGCACTTAACAGGCACTATTCTGTGATTTTCTGACAGCAAATAATGTAGGTACAGCAACAGGTGCCCGAAGGGCAGCCATGGCCTGCTACCCAAATCCAGGAGGTGGAGTGGATGCCATTCTCTAGTGCCATCCTCTGTGGGAGCATACAATCACTGATTGTTGTTCAGAAAACACTGTGAGGAATCCTGGAACTTGGCAAAATGAAGTGACAAGCTCCCAAAGTTACAATCACCTGGCCCTCAGGTTGGATGGCTTAAGAACAAAGTTTTCCTTAGAAATGTCCTGGAAAGCTCAGAAAAGGACAAGAAGAAAAGCATTACAACTGATGTTCACACGCAGTAAAATTAAACAAGCTTTAACTCAGGCTAGTTTCTCTCTAAGTGCTCTGAGATTCTCCTTCAGATAGTATAGAAACTGTATGCATACACACCAAAAAAAACCTAACAGCTGTTCTACATCGAAGTGCACTGCAGGAAGTTACTAAAAAGACACTGTAGAAGCTAATTCCATAAGTCGTTTATTTATCATTGAAGAAACACACAGCAGCAAGTTCTGTGTTGGCTTCAGTATGACCAGATAGTTAATTTTCTTCTTCTTCTCAAAATCAATGTCAACACAGCCATTACTACAAATCACTTCTTTTGGAAAGGGAAAGAATTTACCCTGAAGACAAAGAATTGGGGAAAAATTCAACAACTTCTCCAAAACCACACATTTTAAATATGACAATATTTATAAATCCTTGAAAGGCATGAATTATCCAGTAATGGAAAAGCAGTTGTGCTATTGCAACAGAAAATACATAGCAATATGCTTACCAAAACACTTAAATTGTAAAAGCTTGGAGTTTTGTGTCTGCACACTGCAGCAGTATACATTACTGGAAAAATGACTGCAACATGGCTTCATGTATTCAAGTAAATCTACAGAAAAGATCCCAGTGCAGCTAATGCTCGTAACGTTTGTTGTGTTTAATTCAAATTTAAACAACTTACTGAATTTAGATGATAAAATGTCTCCCAAACTGCCTGCCCTCAAAGATTGTAAAAAGAGGGGGGGAGGGGGTTATATATATATTTTTTTCCTTTTTGGCAAATTATGGAAATTGATCCAGCTCTGCTTTTCCCCTAATTCCACTGTGTGAATTGAGGTGCTTTCAAATGCACATACAGTGATAATATCCCATTCCAAATTAAGACAGACTAAAAATATAAAGGTCAGCTTGTTTTGGTGTGAAACAGAGGCATTACTCAAGGCAGCCTGCTTCTTTTTATTGTAGCAACAAATGACCCATGAAGTAAGCATCATTTGAGATTTCAAAAACTGGCATTCAATTTCCAACCTTCTGCTGTGAGTTTTGTGCATGATCAATCTATATGAGTAAGTAATTCAAGCTCATGCTTTCGTGTTACCTCAAAACATTTGTTAAAGAATTCCCATTCAGAATGTTTATAAGCACAAATATAATCTGTGGATTCGATCAAATCAGAGCTAAAACATTGGTTAAACTGTTTTGATATTCGCTTAGCGTCGTACAGTGGTCCAGCCCTCTTCATCTGTCTCGTTTTTAGTACGACGAACGGGCTCACGCTCCTTTTCTGTTTTCCAGGATCCCTTCTCCTTCTCCCCATCTCTCTCTCGATCTTTCGATGCTGACGGGGGAGCAGAAGCTGGAGGAGCAGCAGGGGCAGGAGCTGACCGCCGAACTGTTTCACGTTCTTCCCCACGTTCTTCTCTCCTGTCGTCAGCACGCCGCCACGAGCTTGCTACAAACACAGAAGACATTAAAACCACCTTTTGTCATGTCCAACCAGCAGCCTGCAGGAGTTTAAACAAACAAGCCTAGCACCAACAGTCTGATTTACTGATTCTCACTCTTGCCAAAAGCTAATATGAAGATGACAGCCAAATGCACAGCTTAATTTTATAGTGAAGTAATGGACAGGAACTACTCATGCCTGTTAGAGATGTACGATTGCTGTCAGCAAGTGAAGTGTCATTTTCAAAACAAAGTAACTGCAATAAGAATGTTCTAGTGATGTACATGGTTTTACAATGTAAAATACATCCTTATATTATCAGAATTAAAAGCACAAAAGCGTCTCTTTAGAAACAACTGAAAAATATTTAGGTGTTCTATATCTCAGCAGCCCTTTGCTGTTCAGCATTACTGAAGTCAGACGTGACACCGGATTACACAGCTCCCCTGATACTAGTCCTCAGCATTCTTCACTATATGAAGAATTGTTCGTTTCCATCAGAAGGAGCATAAGAATTACACCCCAGCTATAAACAAAACTGTCAAATACTAAACCAGATGGTCAAAAAATAAAGTAGTTCTTGATATTGTTTTATAACACATGCATATATATATATATATATATATATATGTATATATCTCCCCACCCCGGGAACCCTCAACCTTTATGCTAGCTGCAGTCCTGCAAGGTGTGTTCTGTTCCAGTTTGCTCTGAGATCAGCTGCATGACAGCACCCACAAGCAGGGAGCACCGATGCTCAGGGCAGAAACCAAATGAAATTCTGAACGTGAGAACTCCAGATTGGCAACATGTGGTATCTCAGGCTAAACATCTTTTTTGTTACTGGTTTTTATAGGAGACAGCAAAGTATAAATGAATGTACATAATTAAAACTCATTAATGTACATATTTAAAGTAGGTTATATTCATAAAAAATAAATATCACTAATAGTCTGAAACCCATAAGGCCTTATTTGCAAATACTTCTCTGTTTTGAGAAATTACTTTCTGGGACACCTCTCTTGATGACTGGACTATAAAAAACTTTCATTCACCTCAAATGTAATGTGACAAATAACTGCAGACTTAAAATGTTATCCTTCTACTGCAGATCTGAATTGCTACTATGATAGAAAAGAGTAAAACTAAAAACAAGATTCATGGAAAATGTTGCAATTGCACTACTGCTGCTTTGTATTATGTTGTTACATACAGGGTGTTTACGTGGCCGAAAAGAATCTTCTCCTAATGCTGCCAGAGTAACATGGAGGACCTGTAGTAACTGCAAGCCTTTAGGAACACAAAACAAACATACGTTCTTCACGCTCAGATCTGAGGGGAGGGCCTCTTCTGAGCGGTGGTTCTCTGTCATCAGCACGGCGATCTCTCATGTCACGGCCACCTCTGTCCCATTCTTCACGACGACTTGAATCCCTCCAGCTAGATGTTTCCTCAGCTGGTCCCCTTCTCCAACCAGCATCGTCCCTTTTGCCATTGAAAATGGAAAATAAGACTAAATGTTCATGTTTTATCTTTGCTACAGAAAGAAGTGATGATGACACAGGTATTTTCAGGTCCTATGGGTCTCTATTTAATATGCTGACTTCCAAAATCTTTTCTGGAGCCTAACATGAAATATGATGTACAGGGGAAAAAAAGCAAAACATTTAAACGCAGAATCTGGGATTCACTCCATTAGCATTTTAAGAACAACGAACCACTATGCCACTATCCATTTACTACCTTAAAGAACCCCATTTCTCACACACCAACCACGGTTCATTTCACCACGTGAAGTCACACTGCTCCTTAATTACACAAACCTGGGACGTCTGAAACGATCATCTCGATCAAAATCCCTTTCTCTGTCATATTCGCGGTCTTTCTCACTCTCGTCACGATCTTTGTCTCTATCCCACTCACGGTCTCCAGGGGGCCTGGAGTCTCGGGGAGGCCCCCAGCTGTCCTCACGAGCCTTCTCACGCTCTCTCCATCCCCCTGCAAGCAACAAAGTCAAAGGAATTTATGAATAACTTCTAATAATCCCTCAAAAAGATGCATTTACTTCTCTCCCATAAACTGTTTTGGATTTTTTTTTAATAGGAAAAAGATACTGGAGTGCAAATAAAATGACTCGTGATAATTTTGGTACTGGTTTGGATTACATAATTGATGTCTAAAGGAGTTGATGTGGCACCTGTAAAAATATGAAATAAAAATATGAAATAAAAATATAAAATAAAAATATAATAAACATGCAAATGTGAATGGAATTTAAAAAAATCAGGAACAGTTTAAAATACAATCAGAAACAAGTATTGGTTACCAACACTACTACTTTGAATTAGAAATAAGCCTCGTAGGAATAGGATTGGAGGATAATTCAGGTTGGAAGGGACTTCAAAAAGTCATCTGGTCTAAAATCCTACTCAATGGAGGATGTCCAAAAAAAGTGTAAAAATACTCCTACTTTTACCACATCTAGGAAAAAAGAAAATAACTTATGCAAACCAGACCCATTTGAGTGATGCAGTGATGCATCAAAATCCTTCCTAGCAGATTAATTTCAGATCATGCGGGGAAAGAGATTAAGGTGCACTCAACTATTGAAAATGTTCTTCCTTCATCAAAGCTTTAAACTGCGTGTCTTTTTTTTGCATGTAAGTAAACACCACCAATACCATGCGACCTTTAGATATAATCCAGGCAAATAATAAATACTGCTGATTTTGGCCATGCACGGTTTGTCTAACTGAACCAAATGAAGAGGATTAATTCTCCTAAGTAAAGGAGTGTCCACATTAGCAGAACTACTACAGACATTTTCAGAGATGATTCTCCCATCTTTTCTGTCAAATGTATCACATCCATTACCTGCTGGTTTAACCACGCTATGGAGGAAAAATGATTGCATTACTCTGCTTTACCTGGTTTACCAAATGGTCTCCAAGGACCTGGTCTTGAATCTTCACTGCTACGCCACGGCCCCCTGTCGTCATCTCGTCTGGAGAGCCTGTCATCATCTGCGTTACGCCATGGTCCCCTGTCATCATCCAGACCTCGCCTGGGACCCCTGTCGTCATCCAGCCCACGTCTGGGACCCCTGTCGTCATCTGCAGCACGCCAACTGCCCCTGTCATCATCCAGCCCACGCCTGGGTGGCCTGTCATCATCTAAAGCCCGCCTGGGCGGCCTGTCATCATCCAGCCCACGCCTGGGTCCTCTGTCGTCGTCTGCTGCTCGCCAACTGCCTCTGTCGTCATCCAAGCCACGTCTCGGTGGTCTGTCATCATCCAACGTACGCCTGGGAGGTCTGTCATCATCCAACACACGTCTGGGAGGTCTGTCATCATCCAACGCACGTCTGGGAGGCCTGTCATCATCCATTCCACGCCTGGGACCCCTGTCGTCATCTGCAGCCCGCCAGCTCCCTCTATCATCATCCAAGCCACGTCTGGGAGGTCTGTCCTCATCCAAACCACGTCTGAGTGGCCTGTCCTCGTCCCCCTCACGCCGAGGTGGTCTGTCTTCATCCCCTTCGCGCCGAGGCGGCCTGTCCTCACTTGATTCCACAGAAGGCCGTTCCTTTTCTTCTGCAGGACCTCGCCGAGGCACATCATCCCCTCGCCGAGGCAGATCGTCACTTCGTCGGGGCAGATCATCTCCTCGCCGGAAAGGTCTTTCATCATCTCTTGCTTCTCCTCGACGCCAGTCTCTACAAAGCCACAAGGAATAAGCGAGTAGAAAATGACATCTAGAAAAGCTTTACATATAAGACAGTGCTGTAGACTCCCATCAAAATCACTTCTGAATACCTGATGTATGCTTGCAAGTACTTTTACAGAGCTTGCAGTTTTCAGATGCACGGGGTCTAATTGCCTTGAGTGCTACATGAAAGTGGTAGTGAATCTCCCTTACAGATTCACTAAATATTGAACAGTTTTTTATCCTTTGAAACATCACAGCTGCTTAGTAGTCTCCTTTGGTCACCTACTGCAATAAAACAGATAAGGTGTTTTGCTTCTACATCACGCTTAATGTGACAAACTCTGTATCTCAAAGAACTCATTAAAAATAAAAACCATGGTCATGAAGTATCCCTTAGCTTCACAAACACACCAACCCTAAAATCCCATCCCTGTTTTCACTCAACAGATTGGTGATGCTCTCACTGACAAGCACACACAACTGGGTACAGCAGGACAACTACTGCTGCCCGACTGCAAGCAGGAGGCAGGCTCTGGCAGACAAAGACTTACAGTGATTTTCCTCACAAGGTTGTAGGAGGGATAAAAAGCATTGGTTAGAGTTTTCACTGGGCTATTGTGTCACCAGTTCATCTTTAGAATATGCTTAGCTGTGCAACACTGAAAGGATCAGACATTACTGAACAGTAGTTAGAGCCTTCTGCCTTGTCACTTCTCTGGAGACAGCATTTGGCTTAATGCCCAAAGGAGCCACAGTAAGGAAAAGATTTAGAGCACTGGAATTCGCTGAGCACCTGGAATCCTGTACTCTGGGGACTGCTGCACAAGACAATCAGCTGCTCTGTAACTGCGTGGATTTGTGTCCTAATTATACAAGCATGTCAGACCTGCTCCATGAGAAATCAATGCCTGCCAGAAATTTTTTAGCTGTAAGCTAATGCATTAAATCTGAAGCATATAAACAGATGCATTAAACACTTCTGCAATACGTAAATAAAATGCTTCACTTGAGAGTTTCATGCAATTTTTTATGTTGCAATTCAAGAGAAAGTGAATCGCTATCAAGAAGAGCAACACAGTTTTTAAAGAGAGCTTAAGACACTACTCACTTCATCAAGAGATCTCATTCCACTATGTTAGAAGAAATTACTAGAGGGAGACAGTAAATTGATTTGCTTCCACAGTCAGAGTAAGCTGTAATGGATTTAAATTGCTGCACTGGAAATTAAGGTTAGACATTTATAAATATCTATTTGTAAGGGTAATTAAGCAGTAAAACATACTGCCAATCAGAACAAGTAGTGGTATTTCCATGAACACAGACTTCTAAGAACAACTAGACATGTTTCTTCAGAAATATTTTAAGCACAATGCATCCTGTGTGAACAGAGGAATGGACAGGTTTTAAAGATTCTACTTTCTACAACTATACAAACAGTCTTCATTATTGCTGAATATATCCCAAACATCTGAAAGTATAGATGTGATCAACCACTTTTAAAATAAAAGTGCAAAGTACCATCAGAACATTCTTCCTACAGAGATCCTTCCCCTTCTCTCTTCTGCAGTCTTTCAGAACTTAAGTTTTAGTTTACAGCACACATTCTCTGCTCTGTGAGCTCTTCTTGGACTTGAATAGCTTTCAAGACACTCAGCTTTGACTTCCTCTCTCACAGTTATTGTCAGTTTTCTAAATGGAAAATCTCAAATCGCTAGGAACTCTGCATCTGTTCATCATCCTTCCCCAGTCTGTACTTATGCAATTGCCATCAATGTTTGAGCGGGTCAGAAAATCATTACTTAGAATCGATGTAATTAAGATTATCAGATGTAGAAGGCCTAAGCCAGCCTTCATTTATCTTACCTAAATAGAAAAAGAACATCTGAATGCAGCTGTGGGACAAAATCTCTCATTCTGAGATTCTTAAAAGCAATTAGAAGGTAACTTAGAGAAATGTAAAGGCCTGAAGGATTACTGTTAGTGCAGCTTTAAAAAAAGAGCCTACACATACTGAGCCCAATCATCACCTTTCCACTGGTGCTCGTCGCCATTCAGATTCCGTCTCACCACCTCTTCTCCAGGAGCTTTCAGACTCTCCTCTATCACCCCAACGAGACTCCTGTATGTCAAAGGGAAGTAGAATAACCTCTTGAATACTTAAAAATAAAGATTTCCAGCATGTAAATTATGCCTTCCACAGCATAACATGCCTTTAAAAAAATCGCTTGTTCCACTGTAGAGAATACTGAACTGCCAGGAGATTGAATAATTGAACTTTACTGCTCATGGCAGATTAAGAACATCAGGATCCCTTTGTGCCACACACTTTACTAACATGGCAGGAGGATACACAGAGAGTTAATACATTTATTCGTAACCATTTTAGTGTGTTAACAACAGGAAGAGAATTAACATACGAAGATGTTCTAAAAATTTCACTTTCCTACTGCGTAACAGTATTAGGAGTGAATATAGAATTTTTCTAACCAGATCAGAAAATGTGACTGCATAAATCATAAACTCTCTGTAGCACAGACCATTTCATTCTGGGTTTACACAGCACTTAACATGAGACCTTAAGGCACAAAACAGTGAAGGTATTTTAATTCATCCGTGTTGCTTAGAAAGTGGGCAGAGCAACAATTCTTCCTTTTTTCTTTTTAAATAAAGGTGACGTCTTTCCCAATTGCTGTACAAAACCAAACTCTACTACTTCTAATGCAGTCATTTATTCCTGAATGCCACCATAAGAATCCAATTAGATAAGCCGCATAAAATAACTGATTTCACATAATCAGACATACTTGCAAAACGTTTGATACTAATCTTTTGAAAGTGTTTTAATTTGGCAAAGTTTACACTGCTATATAGAGAAATAATCAGGCCAGGCTAGATCTCACACATCCACTACTCTAAGTACCTATTTTTTTATAGTCTTCTTGTATAAAGGATCCCAAGAAACAAGAATGAACAAAGAATTCCAAACATGCAAATGGCATTTTTCATGTGGTATGGGTATCTTTCTTAGAGGCCATGTCAGTTTTTCCATACAGTCAAGTGCCTGTGGCTAAGAATACTTCTTACGTGGACAAATACCAGTGCAGTGAAGCATTCTTTAAACAAGGACAATGGCTAAGGTGGATGGAATTTAAGCCAAGTTCTCTTATTGTTAAGGTTTGAAGGAGTTGGAGTTCAGGCTTGTTAAGTTTATAAAATCTTAAGCATCTTATTTATGAAATAAGTTTCACTTTATTTCCTGGTGGGTTGGTACAATGATATTCCCCAATACCTACACCTGCCAAAAGGAAGCTACACACACCTCGTTTTCACTTCACTGCATAATTCCTACACAATAGAAAGCCAGACTTTTATGTTTAGACTGGAATTTTCCTCCAATAGCTACTCTGATCTGTGACTTGCTGAGTCATTATACAT